AATATCATCTAGCTATCTATCTATCTATCTATCTATCTATCTATATATCTATCTATCTGTCTGTCTGTCTGTCTGTCTGTCTGTCTGTCTGTCTGTCTATCATTGGCTTTGAAATGACCACTGAAGAATCTAATGCAATTCTCCAGATTTTTCATGTAACTCCTTTGGGATGTTTTGTGATTTTTAACTCTGTGATAAGGTACAGTGCTTCAGAATTTGAGGAAAACTTTTACAAGACAGTAATTTTATTTTAAATGAAAAATCTATACTGCTGGGAAGAAAGCAACTCTCTCCCTGTGTATTTTATGTGCCCACATACAGAGCTGCAAAGTATAGTTTGGTTGTTCCAAATATTTTGGCAACCTGTCCTGCCCACGAGACTTAAAGATTCTATTCTCTTGCCTCAGTTGTCAAACACGGTTTCCAAGGGCAGCGTGACCTGAAAATGAAGGTGGGGTCAACTTTCTATTCAGGTCACAGCACTTGCTCCATCAGGAGAACAAAGAGAAGACTTTAAAAGTGTGTCTTACATGGAGAGTCATAATTTTTAGGGTGGTTTTTGGTATCACAAAGTGAAGCCAAGTGCTGGAAGGTGTAAGGGGGAGGGGGGGAAGAAGGATATTCTTAACCCCTTCCCTGCCAAAATCCTCTAGCAAACTGCTTCTAGTCCAAGAAGAAAAGGAAATGTGGGCTGTTATGCGAGTGTCTTTTAAGCCTCCGGAGGTTTGTAATTTGGCACCAAAAGTTATTTGGAAGGGCCCATTTTAAAGGTGCTTTTAGTCGTTTCTGGTTTAGGGGGGAAGGGCATGAGCAGCCCTCAGAGGTCCAAAGAAAGGATAAAGTGTGGTTTCCTGGAACATCCCCAGTTGCTCACGCATGAGATACTGGGACACATATCTTTCCCTATGAAGGATAAAAGCAGCTTGGCAGGAGGATTTTCCTCTTACTAAGAAAATGGCCTGAGGACCACTGATAAAAAAAAAACTTCCACCTGATCTTCACACACACTTTAAACTGAGGAAGAATAATGTTCTGAAAGGAATCATGAAGCATGTGTCCCATGTGGTTCTACCTGGAAACACAGTCAATCAATACCTGTGTTTCTCAAAGTTTGAATAACTTGTTTGATGCCATTCAGTAACAGAGTCTGACTCTGTTCAATCAGTTACAGTAGTAATTATCTCTGCAGACTCTTTTAATACTCCTTTAGCTTGTAAAGCATTTTATCAGGTTACATTTTTCAAATGTTTAGCCTTTCTACTTCTTAAATTAAGTTCACTGCCATCAGCTCTGGTTTTTAAGTTCACAATCATCAGCTCTGGTTTTTAATGAGATTCAAAGTGCAATTCTGCAACATTTCCTCAGGAGAATATATGATACACTTACAGTAGACAGAGCAGTGAGAGATCAGGAATGGAAAAGATCCACTGTAGGAGATTAATAATGGAAAGTATACACTTTAAAACAACCTTGCTTCACAGCCACTAGTCTGTTTAATTTATTTTGCAGAGAGGTGAGATATTTACAGCCCTCCAAATATTGTTAGAGTGCATTCCCATCAGTCATAACACAGCCAATAGTGAAACAGGACACATAATAAAATCTTTAGCAAAAAGTATTACCATGTCAGAAAGATAACCAGATACCTGACCAGATCATGCTGCTACATGCGCACACTCCCCACTTCTAAGTGGTAAGAAGGTTCAACACTCTAAGCATTCCAAGTGAGAATTTTTCTGCTTCAAATCTCTGTCTGGTTTGCTCCATCCTAAAGCTTTCACTTTGTTTCTATCCTTGTCTTTCTGAATCTCTCTCACCCACTGCTAGCTATTTCCAACCTTTTTTGGTTAGTAACGGTTGTTGACCAAGCGCTTGCCAGTCATCTTCAAGTCACAGCTGGATATTATTATCAGTTTAGGAAGTGAAGGTAAACAGAAGGAAATGATTAGCTATTTATTCCCTACAAACACACCACTAACTCCTTTCCTCATGGAAACTCCCCAGATCAAAAAGGAGTTGGGATGGAGCCAAATATCTGGTACCAGAAAGCAAGTAACTACTATTGGTCTTCCACAAACACTTGTAGAAAACTTTCCTAGATTTCATGCACCATTGCAATGGGGTGTGGGGTGTCTGTAACTGTTCTCATTATTTTGCCCTTGTCTGAACATGTATTTAATGTCACTGTTCATCTTGTAAAGCTCCAGTGCAGGAAAGGAAAATCTATTGAAATCATAGTAGGCATCCTTCAGTCTCAAGAGACTATGGTAATGTGCTCTGAACAGAGGTCTTGGAACAGTGTCTAGTGTGGCTGAGAAGGCCAATTCGAGAGTGACAATCCCGAGAGTGTCACGAGGGTGACAACTGAGATCAAGGGCTACATTTTAGTGTGGTAAAAACAGCAAACTGTTTTATCTGGTGTAAACCTTTGAGGACTGGATTGGTTTTAAGGTGCCACAGGCTGTTGTTAGTCTATTGTTGTGCTGCAACAGACTAATGCAGCTTCTCCCTACAAAAACCCCCAGTGGGAAACTGCAGAACCTGCTTCCCAATTGTGGGTGGGATCAAAGCCAAATGTAGGTGGGGCAATGCTGCTGAAACTCTTCCTCTCCTCCAGTTACACACGCACACACAGAGGAAGAGAGTAACAGCAATAGATATATAATTTCATTTTACACAGAGGGAGGAAGAGAGCAACAGCAATAGATATATAATTTCATTTTAGTCTGACCAAGTTTTGCCTTATCTGATCTGGATTTCGTATATTCTATTGATTGTTAAGTAGCCTGCCTTGATTATTTGGGATAAGAGAAGCTACACATATTAGATAAGGTGACTACATGCTAAGGTGTTCTCAATTACAATAAGACCGGATGTGATCTGGTGGCACAGATTGAAAATACTTACCAGGTGGTAGGCCTGGACTCACTTGCCCAATGTAGAAATACAGGATAATTGCTATTCCCAAGTTCACAAGGGTGTATATCCACTGAATGACAAACATAATGGCAAGTGATCCTATTGCCTGTTGAACAATATAATGTTTAGGATTATGTGGTGGTGCATCAACTGGTACTACCAGTTTTTTTTAATTAAAAACATTATTTATCTTTTAAAAAAACAAATATATAGTATTCAAAGAAAGAAATGTTCTTTGTTTCCATCTCAGTTTTTTTTTGCAATCTTCAGAACTAATATCATGCATGGAAGATGTGGGAAAAGCCTCTTTCTCATCGAAATCATTGAATGAATAAGCTTTCAGTAGTACAGAACTTCCTACACCAGTTACAGAAGACAACTGAAAGAATGGCACTCATGTCTTGCTTACAGGTTTTCCATAGGGTGGGAAGGAGAAATCTAGAGGCTGTCCATGCCCAGCCCTGGAACTGAGAGGGCTATCCCACAGCTCCCTAAAAACCTTCCTTACCAAAACAGTGGATGTCTTTGTTGGAAAAGTTCTCTGGAGCTCTCAAGAAGCCAAAAAGAGTTTTAGCTTTAATTTTGAGATGTGGAGGGGGAAAGGCGCAAAAATTGCAACATTTGGGATTGTTTAGCTGTGGAGGGGAGAAAGGTAAATAAGGGGAAACATTTATACTTTTTGTCTAAAAGTATATATGGAGTACAGAAAGTGGGAGGAAGATGTTTTCCTTCTTGTCATCTTAGACTCTGTGGCCATCCACTAAAAGAGGATGGTGGGAAATTCAGGGCAGATGAAATGAAGTATGTGTGACCCAGGGAATTCACTGCCACCAGATACAGTGGTGATTGCTAACTTGCGATAGTTTTAAAAGGGATTGGACAAATACATGGATGACAGCACTCTCAGTGAACAAACTTCATAAGATATACAGTATGTGTTCCTTCCATTATCAGGGGCATGTCTCCGCATATGCTCCACCAAGGAGTAAGGACACAAGAGTGCCTTTGCAATCATGTCCTGTTCGTGGGCTTCCAGGGGCACTGTGGGAACATAAGGTTGTACTTTAGTCTGATCAAACATGGCTCTTCTCATGTTGTTAATCATTCTGTGGCCAGTCTAGTACTGACTTGTGCCCTGATTGGCTAGATTATTAGGAAAGCGATTATAGTAGCTCCCTGATTTGAAGCAATCTATGGTATTCTAGTGTGTTCTCACTGCATTACGTTTTGCTATTTCTTGTCTTCCCTAGACTTCCCAGCTACCAATTCCATCCTGCTTCACTACAGCTGAGTTCTTCCCCATTCTGATATTGTTCCATACTGGCTGGAGATGATGGATAGTTGTGCCTGAACGCATTTGGAGGTAACAGAGTGGACTTATAGTCCAGATAGGCAAGATATAAATAAATAAATATGTATTTGGAGGTGCCAGGTTGGAGAAAGTTGTTCTACATACAGTATTCATATTCAGAAACCCTGCTTTCTGGTATAATACTACCCCTTTTCATTGATTCTTCACACATGTTTCTGCATTTATTAATTGCATTTGCCACCCTTCGACTATTATCCTGAAGAAATATTCAAAGTAGCAGAAACTCACACCAGCAAGGGAAACCCAGTGATGACACAGTCGGGAATAGAAGGATGCCGGCATTTTCTGAATTGCCAATTCTCGGCTTTGTTGTTTCATATCTAAATCTGCAGAAGAAGAGAGGCAGTAACGGTATCAGAACGGAATTCAAGCTAGACCAATTACAAAAGCACTGTCTTAGGCATCTGGGTAATTTTGTGGGAGACCAGCTCTAATTATGGGCAAACCCTACCCAAAATAACAAAAAGCAGGCCAGACCACATGTTCGGCCATGACACTACCTTATTCCTTTCTCCTCTTAGACACTCCAAGCCAGATGCACCGTCTTCCTGCATCCCACTCTCAAGCCCTACTGGTTTTTAAAAACCAACCCAGATAGCTCAGTTGGTCCTGCTGTTTGCCTACGACTGCAGTTTGAGATTTCCCTTTCACCAGGTCAAAAGGCTTTGGCTCCTGCCACGTTCTGGCACAGGGACATCTAAGGAACCTTAGCAATTGAGGCTAGGCAGCCCAGAACCCCAGTCCTCCTCCATTTCCTAAACTATCTTCTACAAAAGACAGATACGTATAATGCTGCAGTTGAAGATTTGCATAATGTAATCTGATCTTAGAATCTGAAACTTCTCTTTGTTCAGAATACCAACAGGTCAAGATGTGGGCTGTTAACCTAGGGAGTAAGAAAATAAAATAAATTTATTTAATATTGCTAATAAACGCATGCCCTAGCCTCGTGGCACAGTGGTTAAAACGCTTGGCTCCTGCCACGTTCTGGCACAGGGACATCTAAGGAACCTTAGTAATTGAGGCTAGTCAGCCCAGAACCCCAGTCCTCCTCCATTTCCTAACTATCTTCTACAAAAGACAGATACAATACGTATTATGCTGCAGTTAAAGATTTGCATAATGTAATCCGATCTTAGAATCTGAAACTTCTCTTTGTTCAGAATACCAACAGGCCAAGATGTGGGCTGTTAACCTAGGCAGTAAGAAAATAAAATAAATTTATTTAAAATTGCTAATAAACGCATGCCCTAGTCTCCATTTATACTTCCATAAATGCACATTTTGAGATGAACTTTTAGAAATTATTTGGAAAGTATATCCAGGCCTGGAATAGAATGAATTCTGTTCCTAAATTATGGTCAGAATTATATGATGAAAGGCTGCACAGGCATTTGTTTGTACTGAAAAGGTATTAAGTCTGGAAGCGATTTCTTCTGATTTCAAAATAAAAGCAAATAATTACATTTCACATTCTTATATGTATGACGCATGCACCTGCAGACCTGTGGATGGGAGGCTGTAAAACTACAAGTTTTCCTGTGCTGGGCTGCTTTTCCATATGCAAATTAGATGAGAATTCCCTGCATCAGCAGGCTTTAAAATACTTATTTTAAAAAGATTGTTACTATACCAGGGATGACATTCTGACCATTAAAAAAGAAAAAAGAAAACCATGTATAATCTTGTCTGTGGGAGGGTATGAGCTTTAACTTTTCTTGTGCCTCTAACCTTTTTACCTTGCACTTTCTGGCTGGGTATTTTCTGCATGTCATCAACATGGTGGCTCCCATCAAGAATGTTCTTCTGCTTGGTTTCTGTACCACAAGGTAAAGATGAGCCTTCTTCCTCCTGATGATTTGGCTCTGAGAAATTCTGCATATTTTTGTCATTTGATTCCAGGACATTACCATATAGATCCTGTGCAGAGGCAAAGTTATTATCAAGATCTAACAAAAAGCTGTCTTGTAATGTTTGTTTGGCTTCCTTCTTCTGCTTTCTGTGCTTTGTCATTTGGCCAATGTCCTTGTCTTTTGTTTCAAGACCAGTTCCTGGCCCTTTACCAAGAGGCCGAAAGAGATGGTCCATATCTTTTGTGAATTCTAACAAAGTGCCGTTTGATCTGCCTTGAACTATGCCATCAGATCCATAAGAAGATGGTTTGTCAAGTAATAATGGCCGAGAAGAGCGCAGCACAATCCTGGAATCTTCCCTCTGCATCTTTCTGGAGTTCTGCTGGATGTTGTAGCTCATGGAAGCAGAGAAGTAGGAGTAATCCACCACAATATATGTAAGCATGAAGTTGATTGTGACTATTGGAGCAAGAACATTCACTTGACCAATGAAAATAAAAGCCATAGTGATCAGGCTTGTTAAACAGATGGCAGCCACTGGGGTTTTATTTGGTCCTTTCTATAAGATCAAAGGAAAATAATGAGCTTTTAAAAAAATATATGAGCGCAAATTCATTAATTTTATGTAAGGGTCTTGCCCTCCTCTCCGCTAAATGTTTCACCACTGGCTTTTAAGAAGTACTTTTAAGGAAGTCAGAAGAGAGCGAAGACCTATTCACAGTACCTGTCATAGTTCCAGAGTCCACAAAGATACGGTTCCTTTCCATTGCAAGTCCTTTTGTACTGCTCACTTTTTTATTTATTCTCTTTTGTATTTCATTTGTTAATATTCTACTGCAGATGTCTTTGAATATTAAAAGAATCATGTCCTTAGACATATTTCAAGACAGCAGGCAGTTTTAAGCTTTCAAAGAGCAAGAAGACAGGAAGACAGAGATTGTTTCTGTTTTGTTTTTTTTAAATTAGGTCATAAAGTGGTATGGACTGTTATTTGGGCAGCAGTTTGGGCCATAGCTGGTCCAGAGTGAGGGGAATATCGGAACTCAGGTGGCAGGGCAAGGAGCCCAGGCATGAATCTTAACAGTTGTAGCCTCGGGGGAAACAAAAGAAAAGCTCACCATGTGTGACACTGCTCTTACCTGTGCCACACTTCTTTCGAACCCCCTCCCCTAACTCAGAAGGATTATGCCCTCTGAGCAACAGAGAGCAGTATATTGGCATGAAGTCGATCCAGGAAAAAATCTGAAACAACTGGTACACTAGAATGAGGCCGCATCCCCTAAGGGTACTCAACTGAGGCACTCTGGTGCAGATTCACTTCTTCTCTGTGAGGAAGGGCAGGGGGAGAAATCACTCTTGGTCAGTACTGGGAAGCATCCATGGGAAGAGGGGGGTGGGGGTTCTGCTGTGATTATCGGAGGGGACATACCCAGATCATTCCCTCTTCTTACCAGAGGGGACATACCCAGATCATTCCCTCTTCTTCTCCTTCATAAGGAGAAGGGGCTGCAATCAGTTCTCAGCTGGTGATCCCAGGACCTCCTTGAAACACCAGCCAAAAGAGGTATGTTTCAAGATACCAGATGAGCCACTAACATGGAATGAGAATCAGTTCCAAATAACATTCATGGTTTGGAAAATCATTTCGCTTTTCATCTTATGCTGAGCTTAGAAACACACATAATTTCCTATTCAGAATGATTATAGTTGAATATCCCTTTGCTTCTGGAATGTAAATTATCAGGCCTCTGCTAGCGTTGCAAAAAGATATACCTGATGAACTAAATGTATGCATGTCAAAGCTATTACATATTGAAAAGAAAAGGCAGATGATTCTGCCTTTCTTGCTTACTAACCCCTTGTCCAAGAAATGCAAGAATCGGTATAACTTTCTCTTGAGCAATGCACTGAAGGATTCTGGGTGCTCCATAGAGGCCTCCCATACAGGATGCTAGTGACGAAATATACAGGCCAAGTAAGAACAGAAAGCCCACCAAGGATACCTAAAAAAATGAAACAAAACAAAAAGCAGAGGAAAAATGTTTTTCTCTGCATAAATGCTGCAATTGTTAAGTATACATAAATGAAAAAGGCATCTGATAGCAAATCAGTGGGGTTTGCACTTGAGAAATAATATCCTACAGTGGCTAGGAATGGGAGTTGGGTTGTCTCATGCAGAAACCTCACTTCAACCACGAATTTATCATGCTGGATGTACTACTGTTTTCTCAGCAGCAGCAGCACCATTAATAGCCCTATAGCACAGTACAGTAGCTCACGACTTGATTTCAATCCTGACAGGTTCAAGTAGCCAGCTCAATGTTGACTCAGCCTTTTGTCCTTCTGAGGTTGGTAATATGAGTACCCAGCTCACTGGGGGCAAAGTGTTGTTTGTATAATTATAATGTAAACCACTTTAGCACTATGGGGTGGTATATAAATAAAAACAACAACAAACATAACATTTGCAAGACAGGCATGAGGTTGGAGTGGAGAATATACAGAATATTTATTCAGTAATTCAGTGCAATTAAATCCAATGCAATTCACTTTGGACCATTAGTACAAAACCTCTAGACCTCTGGTCCATCAGATGCTTTTGGATTGCAGTGTCTATCTGCCCTAGCCAAGATAGCCAATTACAAGGGGTGATGGTAAAGGCAATGGAAGAACTGGTAGATGGCCAGTATTCCCCATCTTCACAGAAGGATTACCAAAGCAAATTATGTTCATAGGTTTACACTCTTTATATATGTAATTCATATATATTGTGTATCATCAGTATCAATTGACTTGCCCAGAAGCAGGCTGAAATGTAAACTCCTTAAAAAGTGTCAAAATAAATAAATAAAATGAATATGGGCCACAACAATCACACTGTAAAGTTTTCTTATGGCAGCTGCTCGATAATAAAAAAAAGCACGCAAGCACACAAGGCATTTCAGCAGAACTTGCTCAGAAAAATATCTCAATGAATACTGCACCTCTAATCAACAACACAGCTGGCTAGATTGTTTAGTGAGTTGGCTACCTGGCTGCAGAGCCAGATGTGAGGAGGAGCTTGATTCCCTTATGTGCCTCCTGGGAGGAGAGCCAGCCTATGTGGCCTTGGGCAAATTACACAGACCCAGACGGGCCCCAGAAGAAAGGAAGGGTAAACAGCATCTGAATAATGTATACCAAGGCAACCCTAGGAAGGACTGTCAAAAGCCAGAACCAGTTTAACAGTCTGTAGTTCATTTAATTAATAATATGAAGGTATATATTTTGTTTAGCGCAGCAAGTATGGGGGGGAAGCTCACTTAGCAGCAAATTCAGAAGAAATCTCTCCCACTTACAGGAAACACAGTGGAACAGCAGATACTTGATTCCACTAACATACAGGAAGGAAACTTTAAGTTGAGGGAAATGCACTTACAGAAAGAGATGAAACAGGAAAAGACACACAAGCTTAAAAGTATCATAACAGCTAGAAGATAATAATATCCCAATTACAATGCCATCCATCTTCTAAAGAAAATCAATATTACATTTTTTTAACAATGAGAAAAACCAAACCGAACTGCCAATTAATTTCATATAAGTATTCGCAAAGGCTTTCACGGCCGGGATCTAATGGTTGTTGTGGGTTTTTCAGGCTCTTTGGCCATGTTCTGAAGGTTGTTCTTCCTAACGTTTCGCCAGTCTCTGCGGCCGGCATCTTCAGAGGACAGCACTCTGTGCTCTGGTGTAGTTTGTTTGGAAGTTGAGTATTTATGGCTGTGAGATCAGCTTTTGTCCTTTTTCAGGAGATGGGCAATAAGTGTGTCTTGTTGTGGATGTATTGTTGTGATAAGGAGGAGAGATTATCTGTCACTGTGATTGATGGGTGTCATTAGCTGGTCGTTTGTGTGTAGTGATCCCCGGTCCTTGTGGCTGGGGAGGGGTTGTTGGCTTTTTGCACACTGTAATTTTCAGAGCTGGGAGTTTTGTTGAGATTCAAACTTTCCTCTCTTTGTTGAAGTTCTGCTGGTGCTTGTGGATTTCAATGGCTTCCCTGTGCAGTCTAACGTAATGATTGCTGGTGTTATCCAGTATTTCAGTATTTTGAAATAGAATTTCATGTCCAGCTTGTTTTAGGGCATGTTCAGCTACTGCTAATTTTTCTGGTTGTTTTAGTCTGCAGTGTCTCTCATGTTCTTTGATTCTCGTGTGGATGCTGCATTTTGTGGTTCCAATATATACCTGTCCACAACTGCAAGGTATCTGCAGTGGTGAGGGGGTCCCTTCTGTCCTTTGCTGATCGTAACATTTGTTGTATTTTTGTGGCACTACTCCTGTGCTACTCCAGTCCTCTGAAGATGCCAGCCACACAGACTGGTGAAACGTTAGGAAGAACAACCTTCAGAACATGGCCAAAGAGCTCGAAAAACCCACAATAACCATTAGATCCCAGCCATGAAAGCCTTCGCGAATACATTGTATCCACAAAGATTGTCTCCTTTGCGAGGCAAAGTGCTCCTCCACAGAGCAGACACAGAACATTAGCTAATTGTTAGACATGACACAAAGTCTTAATCCTTAAAAGTCCATGTAGCATATCACCAACCATCATCATTTTGCACAAAATGAACTATTTGTATTAAAACAAGTTGCACTGTTTGTATAATTCCCCCCCCCCAATTCTTCTTGCTCGTGTTTACTTCTCTTGACAAGGTTTCAACAAAATACCTTTCCCTCTATGGAATGAGAATAATAATTTTGCAATTCCTCGTCTATGAGAATGAGAAAATTACATTTTTATTTAGTTCAGAGGTCCATCCTCTATGTTATATGTTCCCTACTAGTTTTAATCCTTCCAACCCACCCACCCCCCACACACACTTTGGTTTATGAATGTGGGGTAGTGTTCCTGTATCCACAATTTGAAATGGCCTGACATTGTAACATTGTGTTCACATGGGTGCCTGTGAGGAGGTGGTAAGAGAGGGTACTCCCCCCCAAATCCTAAACCTGATTATTTATTTAAATGTACACAGGTAAAAACTACAGCCGTATCAACAACCCATAAGTGTCATTTAGAGCACTGGTTCTTAACCTTTGTTACTCAGATGATTTTGGACTGCAACTCCCAGAAGCCTTCAGCTCTGCTGGCTGGGGTTTCTGGGAGTTGCAGTTCAAAAACACCTGAGTAACAAAGGCTAAGAACCACTGATTTAGAGCCCCGCTTCCCACAAATTATTTATATGAACTATGAAGAAATTATTTCATCTGTGCATATTACCAGCAGGAAAAGAATACTAAGCTTCACATAACAAAGGCCAGCCCGAAGACTGATGAGACCAATGTCCACAGTCAAGGTGGTCTATACAGGATCCCCTCCTGTGTTGACTACCATGCACAAATAGACAGCAAGAAAAAGAAAATCCCACAATCTAACTCTTTTTCATTAGTAAATCACTTCTCAACCAAATACTAAGCAAATGTCAAGCTTGTTTTTCAACAAATATTCCAGATTTCTGTTGCCTGGAAAATATGAACATCTGATAGTCATCAAACATTGCAATGAAATCTGCTTGAGGAGACTATAATTTATGGCGTCTTGCTGCCATAACTGTACAGTGTCTTGTCCCAAATCCCCTAATTTGGTTCACAGCAAGGTGAGACTCTGTATTTTCACTGTGTCAAATATGGTGCTAATTTCAACCCTGGTTTGAATTTTATGTTTTTGTTTGGATGGTCTCCAAACTTTTACTCATTGCATCAATTCAATTCAGTCCCACTTATTATATCAGTCCTGAAATTTAACTTCTCTACACTCTTGTTACCCAAAGAAGTAATTCATTTCAGGTAGATTCTGGTCCAAGACAGCACACCAGAACTAGGGCTTCTTTCAGGCACTGTTCTGCCACTGCTGCTGCTGAACATGGATTTCCCAAGTAAACATGGAGTACTCTAATAGCACAGTCCTATACATCTTTACTCTGAATGAATACTGGTTGTTCAGAATCTTGTTGCATATGCCTGATACATATCACCAATTTGTTGCTGATATTTATACCACTGAATCTAACACCAGCGTAAGTATTCAGTTGGATTCAGGCCACTGTGTTCACCAGGGTTTGTTTTCCGCAAAGGGTGTTGAGCATCACAGCCTAAGCAGTTTGCAAGAACAAAAAAAAATCATGAAGTATTTGAAAATCCATAAAGCCCCCTCCCCAAATGAGTTAAGCTTCTTTCTTGCTAATTAACAAAACTATGTTGTTAACTGTTAGAAATGTAGAGAAGGGAGTAGGAAAAGTGGCAGTGAATATTACCGGGAAAAGAATCATTGAAAGAAACAACTGATTTGAAAACAGTAATACAGCCACCTGGAATAATGTATATTGAATAATCCCCTTACAATCCATTTGAAAACAAACAGCCAATAGTAAAAAGCTTGCACATAATTTCAGTTATCCAAAGAGCCTGCATTTGAAAATGCCACTTGATATTCTGTTCACAGCTGGGGAGAAAGGAGTCTTTTCAACGATGTGGCCAAAAGTAGACCAAAAAAATGTGTAATGAACAAATTCTTCACAAGGAATTCTTAATTCTAGTCTGAGTTTTTCTCACGTTCCATTACTTCATTTCCTTACTTCCCACCCACCTACCACCACAAATAATGAAAATAAATTTGAGGACTAATGTTCCTTTAAGAATAAATGGTGAATATGCTGTCATTAATTTTTAAAAAAATCAAATTTCTTATGCAAGACCAGTGAAGTGCAATTCTGCCAGCAGCACAATATATTCTAATCTTTTTGTTACATCATCAGCACTTTGCATTGCACAAAATGGAAAGAAATCTCCTGCCTCCTGTTTCCTGTGTTTCATGATGTGTAAAGACGGATTAAAACTTTCCTTCCAAAAGAATTTGCTGAGTATCTGTTTTCCCCAAAAGTGAAATTTAAATGAGTGTTTTCCATATGGCTTGCATTCTCCCAGTTTGTTAAAGTAACAACTAGGCATGCTTCTTCTCTAC